GAAGCGCAGGCGCACAGCAGGCCGCCGGCAAGCACTGAGGGGCGCCCCTGCACCCCCACTGGCAAAGAGCCGGGCTGGACCGCCGATGGGCCCCCCAGCCCACATCCTGGTAGGCTGGGCCAATCCTCCTGGCCCAACAGAGGAACGGGCCCGTCCGTCGGCTCCCTAGAAACCCTAGCCAGGACCCGTGATTCCCCGTCACGAGCAGCCCCGCCGTCACCGCCGCTGACCCCTGTCAGCTCCGGCGAGCTCGCCGGGGCCGGAGGAGGCCCCGCCAACACCAGATCGCGGCGAACCACCTCCGATAGGGCGCACGAGCCGCCCTCAGGACCCGCATCCACCCCCTTCAGCGGACGCCAGATCCGCGGCGCCAGGCGACGCCCGCCATGCCCACCAGGAGTGAAGGCACGCCGGCGGCCGGCCACGAAGGAACCCCCAAGCTCCTCCACACGGGCGATAAAGTCACCCACCGAGCACCCCACATGGGGCCTCGGCGAACCACCACCATCACCACTTACCTGGCTACTAACCTCATCATCGTCGACATCGGAGTCGATCCCCTCCAGTGCCCAGAACCTGCTGCCGGAGATGGGCGGGGCGAGGGGCCGCCCCCCGGACGGCACGCACCACCGCGCGCGCCCCTCTGCAGGCCGCACCGCCATCCAGCCGTCCGCCTCCGCCGCGGGGCAGCGAGTGGCGTCACCCACGGAATCGCCCCCCGAGTCGCCAGACCGAAAATGCCATCTCTCTTGCCTTCAGAGGAGAATAAGGCCTGGACAAAGTTGTGGAACACTTCGGTACCGCCGAAACTTGAGTTTTTTCGTTGGTGACTTGCTTTTCAATCTTTGTTGACGAATGATGTTCGGGAACACCGAAACATTGCCATATCTGACGCTTGCTTCCTTTGCAGTTCGTCTGACTCATGGAAACACTCACTGGTGGAATGCTCCTCTTTTAGGTGCGTTTGGGCACTTGTTGATTCAGATCTCTTGGAACACCTCATAGAAACAACCGAACCTAATGCAGCATAGTGATTTTTTGGTATGACTGATGTGTTATCACAGTGGCATTTCTACATGCAAGTTGTGGGGTCAACTAACCAGACAGCTTTTTGAAAAAACAGGCTAGAATTCTACACATTTACTTTAGACTATGAAGAAAATAATCCAAAAAAATTAGCATTGACACCACAGGTTCTTCCGGCTGACTTTGCTACTGCTCTTCTATAATGAATGATCGCACACTCATGCGTATTCGAGAGAAAAAAAGACTTCGCCACTGTGTTATCACATATACAAATTACTAGAATGGTGGTGACACTCCGGGCTATCTGAACTGCCCATAGAAAGGCCATCCATGAAGGTATATATCAAAGTCCCCGATAGACTCACTCTTTTGTTAGGAAATATATTGAAGAGTTGAATCAGGTTCAGTGCTTGAGCTTTGTCCAAACTCCAAACGCGAAGAATAGCTACGGCAGTACCTCGAAGCAAGGTCAGATAAACTGCAACCCCCCTCCTCCCGCCGCCGATCAACCAATATAATTTGTTGACGCATAGATGGACAGGAATGGCAACTTTGGGACCATTGCTCCTATTTGTCGTGATCAATCTGGATAATACCTTGGGTCATCAGCTGTGATTATTCATGGAGAATCATATCCTTCAACACCATTACCGGTGAAGAGCACTTCAAACACCATTACCGGTGAAGAGCTGGGGAATAGTATTGTGGGAGCCATTGTCCTGCTGGGGATCACAGCAGACAGAGTGGGTGCTTTCGAGGGGCCTCATCCACCTAGCAGCTCTAATGGTGGAACCCCTCAAAAGAATGCAAACCGGAAGAAATATAAGGCAGATGATGGTGCGGCCATTGACAGTACCTCAACTAAATCATCGGCGGCCTCCTCGATGGAGGACCGCCCGTCCCAATGAATCTGTTAAGTTGGAACTGCCGGGGTGGGGGGAATCCCCGGACAGTTCGTGATGTTGCGACGTTGGTGCAGTCGCATTCCCCCATGTTTGTGTTTTTGTGTGAAACTCGACAAAAAGCTAGTAAGATGAAAAGAATTAGAGGGCATCTTGGCCTTCACGGCTTTGTGGGTGTGGACAGTAATGGTTTAAGCGGTGGCCTAGCATTGTTTTGGCACGAATCTTACCAAGTAACAGTTCTTGGAACAGATGACAGGTTCATTGACATTGCTGTTAGCTCTCCCAGCGGGGAGCAATGGAGATTAACTTCAGTTTATGGTGAACCAAGGGTTGAAAACAGGCACTTGATGTGGACTAAACTTCAAATGTTGAAGCAAGCCTCGGACCTGCTTTGGGTAGTAATCGGAGACTTCAATGAGGCGTTGTGGAGCTTTGAACACATGTCCTTGACGCCTAGGCCAGAAGCTCAGATGGCCGCTTTTTGGGATGTACTGATGACATGTGAGTTAGTTGATTTGGGGTTTTCGGGAATACCCTATACATATGAAAATATGCGTTCGGGATCGGCAAATGTACGCGTACGGCTGGATCGTGCAGTGGTAACAAGTGAGTGGAGAAACATGTTCGCATACTCCTCTGTACAACACCTTGCATCCCCTTGTTCGGACCATATCCCACTGCTGCTAAAGTTGGATGCAGAGCAGGAGAGGCCTAGAGCCAACGCACGGTGATATGATTTTTTTTTGGGAACGGGATGCAGAATTGCCAGATCTTGTAAACAAGGCGTGGTCGGCCTTCGGTGTAATGGAGAACATGGGACAGGTTAGTGCTGCCTTGCAATCAACTATGTCATCACTCTGGACATGGAGTAGCCGAAGGTTTGGGAACGTTACAAGGGAAATCAATAAGTCACGCAGCCAGCTTGAAGAACTGATGCATATGAATGCTGATAGACAGGAAATAAGGAAGGTGTTTGACAAACTAAATGAGCTGCTGTACAAAGAGGAGATGTTATGGTTGCAACGCTCGCGTATCATGTGGCTGAAAGAGGGAGATAGGAACACGAAGTTTTTCCAGAGTAAGTCTGTATGGCGTGCACGGAAAAATAGAATTAAAGAGTTGCATGATGCTGATGGGAATGTCTATATAGATACTGCTACTATGAGTAATATGGCTACATCTTATTTTAAGGAAATATTCACAGCAGCTCCGTCCCTGGAGGCTTCGAGGGTTGTGGATCTGGTTCATAGGGTGATAACCGACAATGACAATGATAAGCTCTGTACTGAATTCACTGACCAGGAGATCTCGGATGCTCTATTCCAGATTGGGCCCTTAAAGGCGCCTGGCCCAGATGGGTTCCCAGCTAGATTTTTTTAGCGGAACTGGGAGGTTTTGAAGGAAAGTATTATCAGGGCTGTTAAGGAATTCTTTAAAACAGGTATCATATCAGAAGGGGTTAACGAGACTTCTATCGTGTTAATCCCAAAAGTTGCAACCCCTACAAGACTTTCTGAATTCAGACCGATTAGTCTTTGCAACGTGATTTATAAGGTGGTTTCTAAATGCCTCGTTAACAGACTGAGGCCACTTCTGGATGAAATTATCTCCCTTGAACAAAGTGCCTTCATCTCTGGAAGGATGATAACAGACAATGCTTTGATCGCCTTTGAATGCATCCACCATATCAAGCAAGAAAAGGATCCAACTAAGAGTTTCTGTGCGTATAAACTTGACCTATCAAAAGCATATGATCGGGTTGACTGGAACTTCTTGAACACTACAAGAAATATGTCAACTTATGACCACCACTATTGGTCACTGAAAGGTCACAAATTTCCATTTATGACCTTTTTGTGACCAAAAACAGAAGGTCAAAAGCTGGGCGTCGTAAACTGACTATAGCGACCTTTCTTCTGGAATGGTCAAAGACGTTTACGACCAAAATATTCCTACTGTGGCGTTTTGGTCACTAGCAACCTCCCCCAGGCCACGTAGGCATCCAGCGTGGCAAGCTGATGTGGCACAAGATTCAGCCCGGTCCAATTCGATTTTCTACATGGGCTGAGCCCAACAATTCAGCCTATTTGTGTTTTTTTTTCATCAATTTTTGGTCAGGATCATGGGCCAAGCCCAATATGGCAGCCTTTTTTATTGTTGGGCCGCGGCCATTTTGGCTAAACAATTTCATTTCTTTTTTATTAAATGGGTCCACTAGTCAAATGGGTCCCAGTTGTCAGGTTCTGGTAACAGGTTTCAATTTGTCAGGTAAGTGGGTCCCATCTATCAGACTCATATTCTTCATATTTCAAGCAGTATTCAGATTCGCAGAGACAAAAAACACACATAATACTTAAACAAGAGCAACCAGATCACATAATACAATACTTTACAAGCTCTATCCATGCCAGTACAAAGGGCCATGTATAATACAATACTTTACAAGCTCTACAAGTGTAATATAGTACTACTTCACAAGCTCCTGGACTCGCAGGACTCTCTCATATTTCTATGCAACTTCAACAGGACAAAAACTTCGGTAGTCAGGGCTAGAACCATAGTCAGATGAACAACACGCCGGACTCGCTCGACGGCGATAGTCAGGGCTGAGACCAAACAAAACAGCAACATGGCTTCCTCTGTCATCCTGTTACATGAATCAGAAAAGAATGAGAAAAACTGGGGAAAATATATTATGAACAGACCATTCAAGAACAGACCATTCAACATTCAGCTAGTACCATGCTTTTTGTTGTCAAGCTAGTTAAAATGAGATAGTAGTTCATATAAGAAACAGAGAAACAATATGAATATGCATGGCACATATGCAGGTTGTGCAAAAAAACTGCACTACAACACATTGCGCCTAAAACAAAATACCATTCTACTATCACGACCATACATTCAACTGGCAAGATCTAACAATACTCGTCAGCACACGCATACTAAACTTCACAAAGGCAGGAGAGAATAAAGGGAACCAAGGAAGATACTTGTGGATGATAGTGTCGACGATGATCTGGATTGAGTTAGCATTTATGAGGAAGTGGACGGTGTCCATGGTGTGCTTTAGATGCACACAGCCATGAGCTTCTTGCCGCTGTTGCATCCGTTCGCTCGATGATGGGTACCAATGCATCCAAGTAGAACAAAACCACCAACATTAACCCACAGCTTCAAGTACAAGCAAGTACATATCAAGTGACAGTGAAAACAAGTTGAGAAAAACACTGTAAATATCTATTTCATGTCATGCAGAATTCAAACCGAGTAAACCTATGCATACAAAGGTGAAATATTACAAAGAAAGCACTCATCAGGTAGCATGCATACAAAGTCTCTGTGTTGGCAGTAGTAAATACTCTCCGTGTTAGCAGTAGTAAAACTCATGCAGTACCAAGTTAACAACTTTGAGTCAGAAAAGCTAGAAATGTCTCTTAAGAGAGACAACTTAGAATTAAGGCACATATCATATTCTGAACAGCATCAGCACCATGGTAGTAACAATTAACATTAGTAGGACATCAATGGGCCACAACTTAGTTAACTGCAGACGGATGGACACACAATTACCTTCTCGAGGCAGGGGCGAGCGTCCTTAAAGTCGAGGAAGATGAGCGTGAGGGCGGCGCTAATGGCACTCCAGGACATGTTGAGGCCGAGCAGTAGCGGCACAAGCATGCCCAAGGTGATGGTGGACATGCCGAAGGTGATTTTCTCCCCAGATTCAATGCATGGAACAGCTCCCTTCCGTTCCCAACAGCAGCAAGGTACTGGTGCTACTGCCGTGCAAAGAAAAATCTTGTAAGCATGATAGAAGGTTGGGATGGCAGGAAGTGAAAATCCTGTCTAACAACATGAGCAGAGCACTAGTTATAAGCATGATAGAAGGCTGGGTGAAGAATATACGAAACTGAACCAATCAATTCAATTCAAAGGGTGTATCTTGTGTAAATGATGCTAGCAATATCAGTTTCATGCATATATATTATATATAGTAGAAATTTTATTAGATGATCCTAACTCCATATTTAACAGATATTCATTCCTCAAAATACTCAACAGAGAGTATTCCCTGCCACAAGCAGCAAGATGAGCGGGGTTTGGGCGAGATCCAGCGAGGTGCAGGGCTGCTCGTTGCGTAACTAGTACTTGGATGTATGGAGTGAGGAGGGAGAGCTGCAGCATACTAATCTTGGGCGTGAAGAGTGGAAACTACCATATATTGCCCAAGAATTGAACCCAGCTTTGACATGCATGCTGCAATTCAACTCCATTGGTTGTCACAGAGATAAGATGAAAATCAACATTTTTTTGTTTGCCACTTATGGATGAAGCTACTAATCAGGATTAAATGCAGACAGTAGTAGTAGTTGTGGCATAGCAGTATATATATTAATTTGACTAAATTGAACCAACACCACAAGTTTGCATAGAATGAAGTTACTAGGTAGGGATCATATAACATGAGGCAGATGGATGATTAGTAAACATGTTGGGCGGCTAAGAAATGAACAGCATATAAAATACTCCTACTACTGTAGTAGTTAAGATGATGAGACAAAGGACAACAGAAGTTAAGATGATGAGACAAAGGACAGCAGCATGCAGAGTTCCTGATGCACCGGAGTGGCCCAACTCGGCTGCACCACACTGAGGCACTGTTGTTCCATCGAGCTCGACCATGTGCAGGCTTCATCATCGCCGTGGAGGTCCCCGTGGTCGTCCTGGTCCATGGAGTGTGAATCTTATTATTTCATTTCAGAGAACGTTAAACACAAATGGCATGTATATGGATCACTGTGGACAAGCAAACTTCGCTAATAAATATGAACAAGGCCTACTATAGCATAGCAGGTAAGGAGTTAGATTAACTCAAGTATTGGTGACTAATAGGCCTATTATTTCATTTTAGAGAAAGCCTGAAACACAAATGACATGCATATAGATACCAAGGACAAGCAAACTTAGCTAATAAATATGAACAAGGTCTACTATAGCATAGCAGGCAAGTATTGGTGACAAATAGACCTATATTAAGAGTAAACAGAACTAGCTCGGAAAACAACTCTATATTAAGAGTATCATGTGTGAATGTGATACAGTAAAAAATTGCATGCTATGTACATCAAGTTAAAAGGCACAAGTTATACAGTAGCCTAAAGCAGAGCAAATGTACAGCAAGTTGATAAAAGAATGCCCAGTCATGGCATTTGATTTCACAAGAGAAGAATGTGTAAGGTGCAATGTTGTGTACACTTTGTAATTCTATAATAATTTGTAGTGCACTGTGGCTAGAAGCCAGAGTACACTTGAAGCTACGAACTATGCAACAAGCCTGAAACTCCAACAACAAGAAGCAGAGTTGAGTTCCTAGCCAGCATTTGCCTCTCAAAATTTTATATAAAGTGAAAATTCCCAGCAGGGTAGATAGTGATCAACTTGCTGTACAACAAGTGCAGAGCAGCTACACAAGAAAAATACAAGCCCACTGATACTAGTTGTGCAGTTGTTTCTTTCGTTCACCACTGATCTGGTCTGTAGTGAAAGCGAAAGCACGACCAAAAGAAGTTAAAAATGTTATTAGTTGTAAGAGAATAGAGTATACATCTTATATCTGTCAAAAGAAGGACCAATATCAATCAGGCCCTTTAATTTTAAAAAAACATGGTTTCATTTGATGGTTGTTGGAGTAGCTGCTTTGGTTTGCACTATAAGGAACCTGTAATATCAATTTCTAACTTTCTAACAGTGAATTTGATCCTCAGGTGGTGTTGGGTGTACTAGACAAAAGGGCATATTCAGTCCTTCTGTAAATGTAACATCCAACCAAAACACTTATTTGCATCTATGAGCACAAAATAAAATGAAGGTATGTATAAAACTAAGACTGCACTTGGCAGGCAAGATCAACACTGTCCAAAATACAGTACCCAACTAGCCTAGCTAATGCAGTGTTAAGTTGCTGCCAATGTTCCAAAATCTCACTGGCATCCATGCGTGATTTGGTCAGTATGAAGAAGAAGTGGGCTAATGAATAGAGAGAGAAGCAGAGTTAGTTACCTTCATGTCATCCTCGATCTTGGCGACCTGGGACTGGATGCTGGCGACGGTCTCCTTGAGCGGGGCGTTGACGGGGTACTTTCCCTCATCCCACACAAACCTGCATCCATCCATCCATCCATCCTCAGCAGATAAGCGAAAGGGATCGCGCCTGATGGTAGCGGTGGTGGTCGGTCGTGTTACCTGCGCCTGCTTCGCCCTCACGTACGGGGAATCCGCCGCTGCTCACCCGCGCGGTGACGCGATAGGAGCAGCAGCTGGCGCTCAGGCGCGGGGTGAAGTGGCTCCTGGGGACGGCGAAGCCGTCGAGGGTGCCGGGGCTCCACCTCTCCGCCGGGCTGATGGCAGCGCCCTCCCCCTCCCGCTGGTGGCGGCGACACCCTCGAGGTGGCTGCTCAAAAGGATCTACGGAGAGGGAGGGGAAAGGATGTCGACGGTGGAGTGGAGGCCGGGGTGGTCGCTCGTGGCTGCAGGAAGATGTGCCCGTCGGATCTGACCAGAAGAGAAGGAGGAGGCCGGTGAGGTTGGGTGGCTCGCTTGATCTGCTGAGGGGGCGACTAGGTGGTGGAAGGGAGGGGCGGCGGAGGAGGAATCTAGATCGGGAAGGGGGCGGCGGCGAGGAGATGGGGACGAGGGAGGAAGGGGGCGACGGGGGGAGGGGTCGATCTCAGCTAGGGTTTGGGCTGCGGGTGGTGGGTATCTCTTTTTCTTTTCTTTTTTTTCTTTTCTGTAGATAGATGGATGGATGGATGTGGGATGGAGAGATGAATGGATGGATGGATGGACGCCATGTCATCGATCCGTGGACAGAGTTATGATTGGTTCAGAAAATCAGTGATGTAGAATAATTTTTAAGTACTAAAAATAGAGAGATTTTATGAAGTAGCTATCAAAAATATTTTGCAAAAGGGCACCACACAAATTTTCACTAGAGTTAGACCACATTTTATGGATTAGGACCAATTTGTATGCATTTTTCATATTTCTAGCTATTTTTAATCATTTTTTGAGTGCTCAAAATGGGTTTTTTTGTGAAGGAACTACCAAATAATTGTTGCAAAATTGGACCAAATCATTTTTAAAAATAAAGTGTTCTCAGAAACGAACTATCACATGTGGAGATCAATGGCTTTCAAGCCAAATGATCAATCTTATGGCCACATTCATGGCATAGTTTGTTCAAATGATCTCATATTGTACACAAGGGTGCATATTGGAATGGAAAACAATGTTGCCTAAGGAAGTTTTCATTTTCTTTGGACGAAAAAGCCATTTTCCATTTTTCGAGTGCCCAAAAGGAGGTTTTTTGTGAAGGACCTACAATATATTTATTGCAAAATTGGACCAAATCATTTTTCTAAAATACTAGGACATATTTACTGCACAATTGACCAAATGGTTGGGTTTCAAAAGTTTTTATCCACCTCTGGTGAAAAAGACAAATTTCTGCCGATTTAGTTGGAAGTGGGTCAAATTTGAACTGTAGCTGCCTTGTAGTTTGCTCTTTGTTTTTTCCAAAAATCATTTCTAGGTACATAAGTATCTATTTAATCATAGAAACACCAAAAAAGTTCCAAGATTCAACCACTAGCTAGGAACGGTCATTCCTGTCGTTTTGACCGCATTTTGAAATGGGCATAAAAAATTCAAAAAAAATCAAAAAATTGGGAAACCTTCGCATTGTGTCATTATATGTGGCCAAGTTCCTAGGAAAAATAACAAACTTGTAATACGGCAATTATTTTAAAAAAAGTGTTCTCAGAAACGAGCTATCACGTGTGGAGATCAATGACTTTCAAGCCAAATGATCAATCTTATGGCCACATCCCTGGCATAGTTTGTTCAAATGATCTCATATTGTGCACAAGGGTGCATATTGGAATGGCAAACAATGTTGCCTAAGGGAGTTTTCATTTTCTTTGGACGAAAAAACCATTTTCCATTTTTCGAGTGCCCAACAGGAGGTTTTTTTGTGAAGGACCTCCCAAATAATTGTTGCCAAATTGGACCAAAACATTTTTCTAAAATACTAGGCCATATTTAATGCACAATTGACAAAATGGTTGGGTGAAAAAAGTTTTGATCCACCTCTGATGAAAAAGACAAATTGTCGTCGATTCAGTTGGAAACGGGTCAAATTTGAACTACAGCTGCCTCATAGTTTGCTCTTTATTTTTTCCAAAAATCATTTCTAGGTACATAAGTATCTATTTAATCATAGAAATACCAAAAAAAATTCCAAGATTCAACCACTAGCTAGGAACGGTCAAGCCCGCTGTTTTGACCGCATTTTCAAACGGGCATAAAAAATTCAAAAAAATCAAAAAATTGGAAAACCTTCACATTGTATCATTATATGTGACCAAGTTTCCAGGAAAAATAATAAACTTCTAATACGGTAATTATTTTAAAAAAGTGTTCTCAGAAATGAGCTATCAAGTGTTCTCAAAAATAATAAACTTCTAATACTGACTAGATTATGACTTGTGTCACATCGGTGAGATACTCTGTGAGATTCAATGGAACCCTCTTGGATTCATTTGCACCGTCGTGTGGTCTTCGCCAAGGTGATCCGCTCTCCCCTTTCTTATTTCTATTCGTGACTGATGGTCTGTCTGCAATTCTGAGACAATGTGTTG